AACCTACTAGCGATGGCCTCCCTCCAGTAGCGATGGCCTCCAAACTAATAGCCATGGCCTCCACCCTAGTAGAGATAGGCTCCATCCCAGTAGAAATGGGCCTCCTCTCTTCCTTCAGAGCCGCATCCATCTCAGCGACTCGGTGCTGCAGCACCTGGACCTGGTCAAACGGGATGCCATGCCCAAAGGCCCAGTCCGGATCACCAGGAGATGGGGTCAAAGCTTGTTGTTTGGTTCCAAAAATCACCGGTCATATGGTCATAGGGGTCAGAGAACAAAGTGATTCACCGGCACAAATCACATGTGTCACGTGATCCAGGCGCTTCCAATGTAAGAACTTTCATCGATAATAAAGTTGATCCATCTGACATGCCCATCTTACTTGAGTTTGCTGCTGGAGAAAAAGTGATGCTAACATCCAAAACAAAAAGGTCGGGAATGCTGAAGTTGCCGTTGTTTTCTGTTGGCTGGCGGTGTTTGGGTCTATCACAGCGGTGACGGAAAAATGGAACATGTCAAAAGCACCATCACCAACAGCAGCCTTGGCCATCTATCTTTGAATCGCCTATTCGAGGATCACAATGCAACTCGCTTGCTGTGGAGATCTGAGCATTTGCAACGTTGGAGATAAATGTGAAGTCAAGGGAGGCCATTGCTATTAGGTTGGAGGCCATCGCTACTAGGTCGGAGGCCATCCCTTTATAAGTATACTTCTAGTTTTGCAGAGTATTAACAGCCATGTTGGACTGTTGGACATGCTGTCATGATGCCCATGAGTTTTAAGGGTAACCATTCTAACTTAAGCACCAGAAAAGGAGACAAGAAAGTAAGGTAAGGCGTTCCTACTCGGTGTCTATCTCTCCTTTTTGCCCCTGAAATCTCTACATTCTCACATCCAAGGTTTCTCAAAAATGAGGAAAGCACCTGGTGGTATTGATCAAATCCACCAGATTGGCTTTCCAAGACAAAGAGTCCAAACCGGCTTCGCACCTCTCCCTGCATTGTCTGCCGCTCCTCTTGGACCTGAAGAAAAGGCCACGGGATGTGGAGATGCTGCGTCTCAGATCATCGCAGCCGAAATTCAATGAGAAAAGACAACAATCGCAAACATCTGCCATATCTGCCATTCCTACCCATTATATTCAGATTATTCATGGTTATTCCAAATTGAATTATTCTCTTCCAGGCATTTACCCCTCTCCAGCATGGAAAGCATGGAAAACACCCTCCTTGTATGTTAGCTTCCTCCACGGCTGTAATGCTGCCAATCCCTTTCTCGTCACCTCTCAAAACCTTCGGGCCGATGCCACGATCCTCCCGGCAGAACGAGCCTCGGCACAGGACCTCTCCAGCCTCACTTTCAGACGGTGTCGGAGCCACGCCATCGGAGCAACATCCGGTCCAGTCAGGTCGCATCCCGTCGGGGCCGTCATGTGCCATGTTGCAGAAAACAAAGTAAAAACATGGCGGCCCATGTTGAAATTTGCAGCCAGGACTGAGGCTGCTGACGTATTTCAAACGTATCTCACGGTGGGGCCCCAAAACCCTCATGGCTTTCAGCCAAACACCAAGACTGGTCCAGGAAAATGACTGGTGATATTGGCTCGGATATATAGATAAATCCCGGATGTATATATATATATATATATATGAATCCAGCACCATTGAAGCGTTGTTGTGTGAAGATTCGACAGTCTCAGGACCTTGTTGAGTGGTCCTGGTCCCGGTCCCTGCGAACACGGACGAAGCTTGTCAATGAAAAAAGGCCGCGTTCTCACCAGAGCGGCTGTTGCTGCAATCTCAATGCCTTCACCAATTCTGCTCCTTTGGCTTCCTTCTGTTCCCTGCCCATCAAGGCTGTGCACCACCCCGGGCCCACAGTGTGCTTTTGGGGTTGGATATCTTCGAATTTGGACTCAGCTGCCACTTACATGGTGATTCTGCACCAGAACGGCAAAGGGCATACGAACCCACGATGTCTGTCTCTCCTATATTTTGAGACCGGGACACTATGCGGGTGTGTGTTTTCAAGTGTTTTGTTGTTTTTTTGATGTTCTTGGACTCTTTCAAGTTGCAATAGGTCTAGCATTGGGTATGGTATTGTGATCTGTCCTGGATGATTCCCACAGAAGTTTGGAGCCTTCTGGTGTTACAACCATTCACCGTTGACCTGTGGTAGCTTGATGCCATTCACCCTTGACCTGTGGCAATGGTAATGCAGATGGTGATGATAATGCTAATGGCAATGGTGATGGTAATGCCATTCACCGACCTGTGGGAGCTTGATGCCATGCACCCTGTGATCTGTGGAAATGAAGATGTTAATGCTATAAACCCTGTGACCTGGGAGGATTGATGCCAATGCTGGTGGCACTGGGAATGCTAGTGGCCATTCACCCTTGCCGTGTGGCAATGCTAACGGCAATGGTAGTGCGCATGACAATGGTTATGGAATGCCATTCACCCTTTGACCTGTGGGAGGTATGCACCTTGTGACCTGTCGGCTTGATTCCATTACCTTTGACTTGATTCCATTACCTTTGACCTGTGGCAATGGGAATCCAAATGACGGTGCTGCGAATGCTGCGAAAGGTACTGGTAATGGTCTTTGCCCTTGACACGTAGTGATGCTAGTGGCAATGGAAATGCTAATGGCAATGGTGATGAGATGCCATTCACCCTGTGAGCTGTGGGGGCTTGATGCCATTCACCATGCTAATGGGAACGGTTTAAGCCATCCCCTGATGCTGGTGCTAACGCTAATGCTTTTGGTGTTGGGAATGCTAATGGCAATGGTAATGCTGATGCTAATAGCAATGGTCATTGCTCATGGCAATGTACACGGTGCTGGTAATGGCCATTCACCCTTTGACCTGTGACAATGCTATGTGGGACCTTGATGCCATTCACCATGGGAACAGGAATGCAAGTTTCCCTGTGACCTGTGCGAGCTTGACGCTGATGCTAATAACAATGGTAATGTTCATGCGGTACTCCTTGGGGAGTCGTGCATCATCTGAGCAGACATAACTGTTGCGACTATAAACAGCCAAACACGCAGCACAGGAGTCATTTTGCATTTTCAAGCGAGAGAGCTTTGGCCTTCAATTTGGCATGCCAGAAATTGCGCATCATTGTGGTCACAAAGCAAGACGCAGGTTCATCTGCGCAAAGCAGTGTCCACATTCGTGTACGCGCTGATGGCTCTGCGGGAGCGGCCTGCTGAAAAAAAAACCTTCAGGCCTTCAGGTCGCCAGTGGACCTCCTCCTTTGGGGTGGGCCATCGACAGATGCTCCGTGCTGTGCCTTGCACAGTGCACGCTCAGTGCACGCACAGTGCACGCCTCAGCGCACACCCCAGTGCACGCAGCCACTTGCCTGTAAATAGCAGCGTTTGGCGCTAACGGCATCAAAAAAGACATAATATATATGATGTTTCCAAACTTTTCGCTTTCAGAGATGCAGCGGCGATTTGCTGCTAATTTTCATGATTTTGGGGCCGTGCACTGGCGCCGTGCACTGGTGCCGTGCACTGAGCGTGCACTGGGCGTGCACTGAGCGTGCCCTGTGATTTCTGGGCCAGGGATTCAAGCGCGGGCGGTTTATTAGTTCAGACTGCTTACGGGCCTACAGCCAACACGCACACGGTTGCAAAAACTGAGCCCACGCGATTCCGCGGCAGCAATCGTACACAGTTGCATATCGGTGTGTGTTTGGCAATTACGCTTGCGCATGTTGTTTTGATTGACAGATGCAGACACATTGCTTTTGCCAGACGGTTGATGCACGAAATCCTGCGTCGATAAAGCAACACATGAGGTCCTCCAATAGTAACGACCCCCGTGCCCCTCAACTCAATGTTGTCTCAATGTTTGCTATGTGTGATGCAGGATTTGGGTCATTCAACTTTTTCTGTTTCAGGCAATTCCTCAACTCAATGTTAAAGAGGGAGCGCGAGGGTATACATGAGTTTGTTCGTCCAGTGGTGCAGGATTTTGTCCATCAACAGTAGCAATGGTATTGGTAATGGCCATTCACCCTTGACCTGTGGCAATGCTATGTGGGACCTTGATGCCATTCACCATAATCCCATTTTCCCTGTGACCTGTGAGGCTTCACGCTGATGCTGTTGCTTATGGTACTGGCAATGTTGATGGCAATGCAGATGCTAATAGCAATGGTCATGCTGATGGTAATGGTAAGGGTAAATGACCACTCATCCTTTGACATGTGGCAATGGTAATGCTCATGACAATGGAATGCCATTCACCCTTTGACCTGTGGAGCTATGCACCCTGTGACCTGTGAGAGTGGGAGATGCCGTTCACCTCTGACCTGTGGCAATGGAGATCACGTAGCAATGCAAATTTCTGCGGCAATGATACTGCAAATGGCGATGGCAACGCACATGGCGATGGTGGTGATAGTGCCATTCACCCGGTGAGCTGGGGGACCTTGATGCCAATCACCCTGTGACCTGTGGGAGGTTGAGGCCACACACTCTGTGACCTGTAGCAATGGCAATGCGAATGGCAATCGCAATGCTAGTGACAATTGTGATGGTGATGCCATTCACCCTTTGACCTGCGCGGGCTTGATGCTAATGATAATGCTAATAGCACTGGGCACGCCAATGGTAATACTAATGCTTATGCTAAAAGCAACAGTAATGCTAATGAGAACGGGCCATTCATCCTTGACCTGTGGCAATGCGAATGGCAATGGTAATGCCATTCGCCCTGTGAGCTGTGGGAGCTGCATGCCATTCACCCTGTGACCTGTGGGAGCTTGATGACCCAGGTAGTACCGGGGGGGTCGGCCAAAAACAAATTGGATACCAGACACCAAACCAATTATTTTTTTGGCCGGCCCCCCTCAAGATCCGGTGAACTAGGAAGACTACTACTCATGAGCAGACAACGAGCACCTACCAACAACTACGAGGTCTCGTCCTCAACGTCTGAACACCTTCAACATGCAAAGTTCTAAAACAAACGTTTTCGAGAACACTGGAGAACACACACCCGTATAACGTCCTTTCTGTATAATATTAGGGGCCCACAGTGGATCTGTTTAGAACCTTTGGGCATCTTTGGGCATAAATCTCACTCCGTTCTGTATTTCTTACGGTTTTAGTTCCCTACTCTAAAAATGCCATTGCTTCGCACATCGCCTCAGCTGACGATTCTCCCGCAGCACTGCTTCTAACAAGGGCTCTGAACCTGGCCAGTGTCCGAAAAGGACAGAGTGAAAGGAGAAGATTTGAGAAGAATTAATTCACATCAGTCTAACAAATTCAGAGGAATGCAAACAAACTGGATCAAACAAATGGGACCACCACTCAGTGACGCCCCACGCAACTCTCCACATCGTGCCGCAAGTTGGCGTAGCGTCGCAGTCATTTGGGTCCAATCAAAGCCGAGGCACACCCCAAAGACCCAGTTAGGCCCTGCACCCATTGGATTCTCCTATTTTTGTGCAGGCACCAATGTCTCCGTGGCCCAAAGTGAATTGAACTGATTTTTTCGCGCGAACATTGGCAGGTCCCCAATAAGCCTCTCAGGTCTGTTTGTCCACTTGTGAAGATGGGATGCGAATGAACAAATGAACCAACATCGAACGCAAAAGCATCACCCAAGGTCAGAAGTTGCCACACCGCGTATACAAATCCTGATCAAGACTTTATGACTGTGTGAATGACGGGAGCAACATTCTTGAAAACCTCGAAATCCTCGTTTTATGGAGTGACCAGGTTGAAACTCAAGCACTTGGGCACCCACGTGAAGGACCGAAAAGATCTGATTTGGAGAGTGACTGTTTGTGAAGTGATGCTGTCAGCGGCCCAAAACAACACGTTGAAGCCCTTTGTTGGACAAAGGCGTTTCACGGAAAGAGCAGTTTCCCACTTGGAACCCTTTTTCGGGTCGTCTTTGATCGTCCTTGGCAATTGCCGGCGCCAACCAACGGCGCCTGCAGCTCCACTGGGTGAGAGGCTTCTTTCCCACGCCTGCGCGGCGCCGCCGCAGTTCTGCGCCGCGGTGACCGAGGCTACAACGCAGCGGGTGACACGAAGAAAGGCGGAATGCTTCAAAGAAGGTGTACACAAGGTGTACTTTTTTGTCTTTTTTCAGGCTTTTGGGCTGAAAGTGAAGAACCTCGCCATCCTCTACTTCTTATCAACTCCAGCCAGCAAGCCTCAAACATATAGGATGTATTTGATCTGCCTCTTGCAACTTAGATTCCCTTAGCTAGGCTGCTCATGGCTGCTACCGGGTACTGCAGTTGTGGTTATTCTCAAGTTTTGGTTCGATCCAGTCGCTGGATGCTGCATATGTTTTCCTTCAAGTCGTTGGGGAGCAGAAACAAATCCAAACCATGATCAAATCCAGCGTTTTTCCTGCCAACGACTTACCAGTAGCTACAAAACGCTTAAACAATCAAGTCTTGGACTTCACATCTCTCAAAGAACCGAGAAGAACCGCCCCGTGACGAAAAATCGAACATGTCCGCACATGTCCGCACCATCTCCTGCCTGTGGAAAACTTCCCTCCTCCGGAGGCAACGTCCGAGCCATCGCGCGCCGGCTCAGGCGCTGTGGAGCTGTTGGGCAACGCGGCGACGCCGAGGCGACGCCCCCGGTGGACGGCACTGAAGAGAATGGCTTTGGATGGGGCGAGGGTTTTCAACTTCTAGGTGAGTGGTAGGTGACACGGTAGGTGACCTATATCTCCTTGTGGCACCACTGTTCAGCCAGGAAAGAGATACCTTTTCCGCTGCGTTCAGGCATTGTTCCATCATTCCAAACGTATGAGAAGGCCAATGTTGAAATATGTTAAAGTGTGCCCTCAGCGTTTAAAAAGTCCTGGAACTCATGAGCTGGCTCAATCAGTGGTTCATTCATGACGTCTGCGCGACCTTTGAGCTGGAAAAAATGGCACTATCCAGTGTAGGGGAAGGACCTCCGACTCGAACGGAAGTAGCTGGGATGACTTTAAGTTACACAAATCTGAAGCTCGTGACTGGGGAGGAGGGTACACTGGCTCCCGGAGCCTCACCAATATCCCGCTGGTGTCTGGATTGATTTTGTTGATGCATGGAAATGTAACCTGTGCACCAAGCAGCCCGTTTTTTGCGAATGGCATATGGCCTCAAGGACCTCCCGAGAAGGAGGAACCCAAACGGTGAACCTTGTGTTCAAAAACAGAGAGTTGCGCATCGGGACTGTTTGGTCGAGTGGTTGCAGTTTGTTGGTTAAGCATGTCTCAAGGGCATCAACAGGTTATGAACCCAAACCAAGCAACCACCGTTCCAGCACCTAGCTCGTGCATGCTTCGTCGCCGTCGAACGATGGAGCTGGGATCATCACTGGCTTTGCCTCTACCTGAAGAGGATGATGTTCCGGTTTCTGGTGAAGAGGTTGAAGGAGTGAAAGATGGAGAAGGGATGGAAAAGGAGATGAAGTGAAAAACAGGTTGACGACACCCACGAAATCCACTACAGGCCCCACTGGCTCTGTCAGCACTAAGGATGCTGAGGTGTTAAAAGAAGAGAAGAAAGAAAGCAAGGATGACGCAGCAAGAAGGAAGGAAAATGAAGAGGAGGAGGCCCAGCGCTAAGGAAAGAGAAGAGCCAGAGAGTGAAGCCAAGAAAGGGAAGCCTGAGTATAAAGGAGAAGGGGCTGAAAGAAGATCCATGTCAGCGCTCACCAGCTGCAGCTAGCTGTTCTTATGGCCCTGACGGCGAAAACTCGTGCGCAAGGGCACGAAGATGATGGACCAGGACGCTCAGATGAAGAGCCACTGAAGATTTCATGGCGGCCTACACTCCGCTCATCATGCTGGCTACTCTGTTCTTATGGCGAATCATTGCCTGGCTCTTCACTCCACCAATTCCCGGAGGAGATCACGCTGCGGGTAGGTATGCCTCCTGAGCCACCCGTGAGGGGACCTCCAGGCAGTACAAGCTTTGAACCGTCCCACAAAAGCTTGATTACAGTAGACTGGCAGGGCCGTGAGACCAACAGACCAAGCGCCAAGTGGAAAGGAAAAGAGAGGGTGAAGGAAGGCTGAGAGGAGCAGCCCACTGATCCAACATGCTGGGCTTATGGACCTATGACGCGAGAGCAGCCCATCCTTTGCCCAGCGTGAATGGCTTCCTCACTGGATCGCAACTCTCACTCTGCAGGAAAGGCAGCAGGCTGGATTGGAGCAGCCACTCCTGACCTCGAGCTCTGCGGCGATCCCAATCCTCACTTTGGACATCAAGGACCACCAAGTATGGTCAGAAGTACCATGTGTTCAGGACATGCAACACTGGCTTCATCCACTTTGAGGAGTTCACTTTGAGGAGTTCAACACAGGTGCGCCTTCACTGTCGACATGAGTCGAGCTCGGCGGAGTGAGCCTTTGGTGCCGAGGTTGGGGTGAGGTGTATCCCCGCGATGCGCCATCACCATTGCCCTGCGCGACCGGAGGAGAGACGAAGTATGATATATATATATATATATATATCTGTGTGTGTGATGTGTGCTCAAGAGCTCCGGAACCGGCACCTGAACATGTGATGAAAAGAAAAATGAGGGGCTGTGGCCCATGGCCATTTGGGCCCTACAGAAGTTTTGATGGCTCGTGAAGCCTACAGCTCATAACTGGAACGGCTGAAAGCCTGGAAAGTATGAAAAGGACACAAGCTATGTCAGTTGACTGCATTGCTGTGGGTACAATGCAGTGATGTGCTCACTACACTACCCGGGGCTGCTGGTCTGGAGAAGCTTTGTGAAAATGAAAAGAGAGATGAGCTGGTGAACCAACAGCACCTATGCAGCATGGGCTTGAGCTTGGTGTGTCACTGAGCCCGTTCGGACTCCTCACGAGCGGGAAGAACGGTTGAGTCCAGGAGTGCCCGTGAGGAGGTCAGATTGGCACAGTGACAGGGGGAGTATTGATGCATGGAGATGTAACCTGTGCACCACGCAGCCCGTTTTTTGCGAATGGCATATGGCCTCAAGGGCCTCCCGAGAAGGAGGAACCCAAACGGTGAACCTTGTGTTTAAAAACAGAGAGTTGCGGAGGACTGTTTGGTCGAGTGGTTGCAGTTTGTTGGTTAAGCATGTCTCAAGGGCATCAACAGATTCGCACGCAGTCCCATCTCGGTTCCATATCTTCCGAAAGGGTTCCTGATAGGGTTCCGTTCAGGACGAACCAAGGGGTGACCCTGGTGAGCATTGAACGTCTGCTCGAGCGGTCCTATTGCCACTCATCGAGACCCCAGCTTTTGTGTGCGCAGTGTGTGGGGCTTCTGCCCTCCCAGCAGGTCGTACTTTGCTTTTTCATGCCTCTTGTGCGCAAGCCAGGTTTCAAACCGTGAGACACCCTCTGATGGCAAGGAGTGCTTCCCAGGGTTCGTCAAGGATGTTCCACTTGACTGACAAACCCTGTTCATTGTATAAAGACATTAGGACGCTACGTTGTTGTACCCACTTCCATACTCGACAGCTCTTTCAGCATCTGCAAGTCTTTGATGAGCGCAAGAGTTTGACTTCACTGATCTTGGATTCAAGCATCTCCACACTGCTTTGTAACGACTTGGAGAGCGCTTCGCCGGCTTTCCAGTGGCGCTCCGTGGCTATTTTTTCAGGGAAAATCAAGTCGATCAGTCTTGAGATTTGGGAAAGTTGGGCGTTGAAACCTGATCTCCCAAGACATGAAGACGCTTGGAAGTAAGTGCTTCTCGAGGTGCTTTCGAAGTGCATTGAAAGTCACAAGCTGGCCCCAAGAAATGCCGACATCAATAGAAACCCTTTTTGGGTTCCAGGGGCCTGAGGCCTAGACGCCCATCCAACCCGGCAGGCCAAAGTCAATGCTCCAGGATCTCTTCCAGGTGAGACTCATGTGTGCGGGTCATGTCCCTCTTGTCCAGGTGCGTCAACTGCCTGTCAAGCTACTTGATGAAGGCATGCTGCTCAAACAAAAACACAGACTGATGAAGTGGCTCGATCCTTGTGGTCGACCGGGACTTTCTTCGCACACAACTGAACACGGCCGAGCCATAAATTAGGGGATACACAGGTACATTTCTTTTAATTCCAAACATAACAAGAAACCTTGGCTCGCAACCCTGGTCACTGAGTTTCTAGCAGAGTGTGCCCCGGGCGGGTGGAACAGTTCCAGTTCCACGTCGTCCAACACAGGAGACTGAGGAGGAGGGAGGGAGTTCCAGCTCCAGTTCCAGTTCCAGTTCCACGTCGTCCAAGACGGGAGACTGGGGAGGGGGGAGGGGAGTCCCAGTTCCAGTTCCAGTTCCAGTTCCAGTTCCACGTCGTCCAACACGGAAGACTAGGGAGGGGGGAGGGGAGTTCCAGTTCTGGTTCCGCTTCCAGTTCCAAGTCTGGGTCCGAGTCTGGACGTGATTGCCAACGTCAGTTTAGCGTGGATGAGTGTTTTTTTATCCGGGGGGGAGTTCCAGTTCCACTTCCAGTTCCAGTGGGGTACACTATGGTTTCTAGCCTATTTTCCAATGAGTCTGAAAAACAAAGTTTTTTACTTCATCTCATCTCAAGATCTGTGAACGACTATCCCCAGTCCCATCTACTCAGGCGGAGCCATTTATATAGAACCGCTCAAGTTCAGGTACCTTCAGTAAGCAGTTGCTGTTTGTTTGTAGGTCATTGTGCATTCCCTCCCTGCGTTCAAATAGAACGACGTGAGATTCGCAAAGGCAGAGAGTTGGTGGGTCCCGAAACGATGGACCGGGAAAAAAATAAAAGCATAGAAAAACATAGACCGTCAGAATCCGTTGAAGAAAACTGCAGAACTGAAGAAACGGCGCCCAATGCGCCAATCGGAGATACCGAATCGCCACCAAGGCGCAACCAGAATCGTTGAGGTTCAGGGCCTGGATCTGGTGTACTCAGAACTGTTTCCTGTGCCCTCACGTAGCTTCCTGAGACTCTGAGAGGAAGAAATCACATGGAAAAACATAGAAGACATCGTCATCTTCGGAAGTTTGAGATCACTCGAAACTCCTCTGGTTTGGTGACAGTTCCTTTCGGATCCTCAATAGAATAGTTTTGCCTGGCTCCTTTCTCCAGTCCAAGATACTCCAAGCATGCCTGCCATGAAAACGGTACGGATGGCCCCTTTGGGGTTGGCTTGCAGCCTTTTCAGAGGAGATGAAGAACAGAAGGGTGAAAAAGAATAGTTTTCTTGAGCTATCCAAGGCTTACGCCCTGGAAGATTAGCATGGAACCTGAAAACCACTGGGTTGTAGAGGAAATAGTCTTCGAAAGGTCAATTTTCAGGTTCCATGTGGGTCTCTTCCCAGGTGTAGGACATTGGACCAAGCTAGATGGGATCACATGGGATCCCAGGACGATGGGGGGTGTTCAAACCGCTCGATCAAGAGCAGATGTAACATGATGTAACTCTCCCCTCTACCAACACATCCACCAACGCACCAACACTCAGTTTGGTCCAGTATCTGGTGCCTGGGAGTCTCAAGCACAACGGCCCAAGTTGCAAGCGCCGAGGACCCGAAGGAGCATCCGACGAACCAGCGGACTCACGGGACGGCCTCAGGAAATTCCAGGATCAAACGGCCGAGCCGGGAGAAGCTACGAACGGGGCTCCTGGCCTTACTACTAGGAGCAAGGACGCTACTAGGAACAAAGGGCATCGCTACTAGGAGCAAGGACGCTACTAGGGGCTCCTCGATACTTTGTTTTGTTCCACCTATGGCCGTTCGAGTTTTCTTGTTCATTTGTGTTCTGGTTGATGTTTGTGCGTTGTTTTCATTGACTTCTTTGGTCTCTCTTGGGATCTTTAGATCTCTGGACCCCTCTTTTCTTTCATGATGTGGAGTCGCGCCTGGACATCCGCGATTTGAAGCGATCCAAGGTCTTCCTTAAGCTCGGCCACTCCGTCGCAGGACTGAACTTCCTCGGGCGCCCCCGCTGGCCGGCGTCATTCGTCCTGTTTCTTGTTGTTCTTGGTTCTTGTGTTTTTTCTTATTTGTGCATTATTGTTGTATGTTGTGTTATTAGTTTTGTTATTCCTGCAATTTTGTTCTTGTTATTCTCCTTGCTCTTCTTGCAATGTTTGTTTTGTTTGTGATTGTTTTAGCTCTTCTTGTTCTTCTTGCAATGTTAGCTCTTCATGTGATTATGTTTGTCCTTTTGCAATGTTGTGCCTTTTTGTTATTATTCGTCCACTTCTTGCTGTTTGTCCTTTTGATTTATTGCTCTTCTTGCACTGTCTATTTCTGTTACTATTATTGCTCTTCTTGTTGTTCTTGGTGTTTTTCTTGTTATTGTTCTGATAATTGTTTTTTGTTGTTCTGGCTATCCTTGCTCTTCTTGTTGGTCTTGTTCTGTGTATTCTTGTTGTTTCTCCTGCTATTGCTACTACTAGTGTGATTATTATTCTTTTTGTTGTTCTTACGATTTGTTGCCCTTCTTGCTATTGTTGTTCTTATTGATGTTGTTATTGTTTTTCTTGTTCTTCTTGTTCTTCTTGATTATTTTGTTCTTCTTGCTATTGTTATTAGTGTTCTCATTGTTATTGCTACTCTTATCCTTCTTGTATTGGTAATTTTGCTTGTTCTTGTTGTGATTGTTACTCGTTGTGTACTTATATATTGGTTTATTCATGGTTTTCTTGATATTTGGTTTGTTCTTCTTGTTGCTATGGCTCTTGTTATTATCATGGTTCTTCTTGTTGCCCTTATTTTTGTTAGTATTATTGTGTTTGTTGTTTGTTCTTGTTGTTTTGTTGATGTTCATGTGTTTGTTGTTTCTTGTTCTTCTCGCTTCTTCTTGGTCTTCTTGTTGATTCGTTCTTGCTCTTTTCTGAGTTCGTTCTTGTTGGTTGCCTTGCTATTGTTGTTCTTCTTGTTGCTGCTGATGTTCTTGTACTTATTGTTCTTCATGCGAATCTTACTGTTTTGTTCTTGATATTATTCAGTATCTTCTGTTTCGTCTTGTTCTTCTTGATCTTTCTTTTTGTTTTGAACTGTTCTGTTATTTTTGCTGTTTTTGTGTTGTTTGTTCTTCTTGCTACTCTTGTTGCCCTTATTGCTTTATATGTTCCTTGTTCTTGTTGCGTTTCTATTGTTATGTTGTTCTTAGTTTTATTGTTCGTTGTTGTTCTTGCTATTGCTATTTTTATTGGTAATGTTTTTGGTATTTGTTCTTATTGTTCTTGTTGTTGTTGTTCTTGTTCATTTGTTGTTTCTTGTTATGTTTGTTTTTGTCTTTGTTCTTGTTGTTCTTATTGTTCTTCTTGCTGCTCTTGTCCTTGCTGTTCTTGTGTATGTTTCTTCTTGATCTTGTTTTGCTAAGTGTTTTCTTGTTGTTCTTCTACGTGTCTTGTTTCGTCTGTTTGTTCTTGTTTGTTGTGTCCTCGTGATCTTCTCATTTTTGGATTTTTCTTGTTGTTCGCTTTGTTCTCCTTGCTCTTCTTGTTCGTCTTGCTTTTCTGAGTTTCTTCTAGTTCCTCTTTTTCTTCTTGTACTTTATGTTCTTCTTGCTGTTCTTGTTATTTTGTTATGGGCTCGGATTTAATCTAGGAATTTTAGTGTTTTTTAAGGGGATTTTTTGTTTTTCGTGTTTCGTGGCAGGTGCAGTACTTTGTGGGCCTTGAAATGCTACTTTGCGGACCTTGAAATGCACATTTCGTGGCAGGCGCAGGACTTTGTCGATGTTGAAGTGCGGATTTCGTGGCAGGCGCAGGACTTTGTGGATGTTGAAGTGCAGATTTGGTGGCAGGTGCAGGACTTTTTGGGACTTGGAGTGCAGATTTCGTGGCAGGCGCAGGACTTTGTAGACCTTGAA